CTGGGTCAAATGGCAGCTCCATTTTTAACTTTTTGGAGGAAACTCCACACTGCTCTCCACAGTGGCTGCACCAGTCTGCATTCCCACCAGCAGTGCACGAGGGTTCCCTTTTCGCTGCATCCTCACCAGCACTTGTTGATTTGTTGATGACAGCCATTCTGACAGGCGTGAGATGTAGCTCATTGTCATTTTAATTTGCATCTCTCTGGTGATCAGAGACTTTGAGCATTGTGTTCATATGACTCTTGGCCTTCTGTGTGTCCACTTTAGAGAAGCGTCTAGTTAGGACCTTTAAGTTTTTTAATTGGAATTAGTTGTCTTCCTTGTGTAAAGTTGCATGAGTTTCTTATGTATTTTGGATATTAAACCTTTATCAGATGTATCATTGCCAAACATGTTTATCCATACAGTGGGGCTTTGTTTTTATTTTGTTGGTGATTTCTTCTGCTGTGAAGCTTTTTATTTTGATGGAGTCCCATTGGCTTATTTTCTCATTAGTTTCCTTTGCCTGAGGAGATATATCTGTAAACATATTGCTACAAGAGATGTCTGAGATTTTCCTGTCTATAACTCCTTCTAGAATTTTTGTGGTTTCAATATTTACATTTAAGTATTTTATCCATTTTGAGTTTATTCTTGTGTATGGTGTAAGCTAGTGCCTAGTTTCATTTTTTTGCATGTATCTGTGTCCAATTCTACCAAGGCCATTTATTGAAGAAACTGTCTTGACTTCATTGTATGTTCTAGCCTCCTTTGTCAAATATTAATTAAGCATTATGGCTTAGGTCTATTTCTGGGTTCTGTTCTGTTCCATTGATCTATATGCTTGTTCTTGTGCCAATACCAGACTGTTTTGATTACAGTGGCTTTGTAATACAGTTTGATATCTGGTATTGTGATCCCTCCCTCCAACTTTGTTCTTTTTTCTCAAGATCACTGTGGCTATTTGGGGTCTTTTTTGGTTCCATGTGAATTTGGATATTCATATCCATAATACTAATAGAAACAATAATGCAATAGTAATAACTGCTTCACACTAGTACATAAATTAAGTAGAAATGCTCTCTAAATGTAATTTTCTAGTTATATAGTATGTAACTTCTCATAATTCACTTATTTAATGTCTTTTGATCAAACACAAATAATAAGCAGTATGTTGGATCCTTGTAAACAGGCTTTCCCTTGTAACAAACACAATAGAGAAGAGTGGAACTAAACAAGTAATCCTAGAGCTGTGTGAAGCATCCGAGGATGTAAAGACAAGTACAGCGCCAAGAAAATTTACAATAGGGGATGCCGCCCTGGGCCAGTGAAAGGTGTGGAGGCTGAAGGGTTTTGTGAGGAGGCAGCACTGAGCAGGACACTCAGAGATCAGTGCCAGGAAACTGAGCAAAAGGAAACACACATGCACCTGGTCTTTGACAGGAGTGGAAATCTGGCTTTTAGGAAATGAGACAGACGTCCGTTGTGTGTGGGACAGAGAGGATGGTGGGAAAGCACAGCTTGAGAAGCAGGCAGGGCTCAGGTCCTGCCAGAGCTTCACGGGGTTTCTGGATGCTTGGCTTCATGCTAGAAGACACCACTGGAGCTTTAACATGTCTTGCATATGTGGTGTGTTGGGTTGTGGGAGTGAGTCTGGTGAGATGTTCAGACTCATATTTCAAATTTACTCTGGTTCTCATAGGAAGAATGCATCAGAAGAAGAGGCAAGAATGGGTGCCTACTTGCAGGCTGTTAAAGGAGCCCAGGTGAGAAACGATGATAATTTGGACCAGGACAGTGGCAGGAGAAATGGAGAGAAGGTCTCTTTCATGAACATTGAGGAGGCAAAACTCAAAATACATAGCCATACCAGGATTCTGGCATGTAAGGGAGAGAGAGGTGCCGAGTCTAAGTTGAGGTCTCTGCCTAAACAGATAGATGAGGAGGAGGCTATTGCCTGGAATAGGACTCACAGATCATAAGTCAGCTCTGAGACAGAAATGTGAAATTTCTTGAGCATTGTGATTTACAGGCACCTCCACAGCCCAATGAAGATGGTGAAACACTTATACATGCATTTCCTGAGCTCCAAGGAGAGATTCGGGCTGTGTACATGCATTGGAAGCTGTTGCTATATAGATGGGAACAAGCCAGGGGCATGGATAGGGGCCGGCGATGAGAGAGTATTGAGTGTGAAGATCAAGAGAAGACTGATCCCTGGGAACTGTGGACACTTAAATATTGTATGAAATGATGCAATGAAAAAGGAGGCTGAGAGAAAAGCTGAGGTTGGGGATACCAGCCATTTTGATAAAAATAAAAAAATTTAAAAAATCAACTTACTGGCATGCCCGGGCTCCACAGGCTTCCGGTTTCCACTGAAGCATCATTGCTGTTAGACCTCAGATCCACATTAGCTTTTCCTCATAAAATCCCAAAGGAAAACTTGTGTTTGATGTTCTTTATTAAGTAGGGCGGAGACTCTCGGTGCAGTAGTTAGAATCATTTACTCTCTCCAGACTTTTTTCACTTGCTTTCTGCTATGTAACACCATTCTCATGAGAAGGGATGCTGTCTATAACTTCTTTGCATCTCTTTTCTATTTGGAATACGTTATATGGTACCTGGCCATAATTTGCTAAATTTTGTGTTACACGTCAGGGAATTTTTTTCAGCATTGTTTATGCTTTCTTTGCTATTTTTATCCTTTCTCTTCATTTCTGTTGATTTTGGGAATTCCCATTTGTATTTTTTTAATGAATAATAAATAAATGTCATCATCTCGCCAGGTGTAGACTGTTTTGCTTTTGATCACATAGAGTTCGAGGTGTCTGTTGGCCAAGAAGGTAACAAAGTACTGGTCTAATGGGGCCTATGAGCCTAGAACTCAGACAAGAAATCCATTGGAATTGCCTTTTATTTGTTAAACATTCCCAAGCTCCAAGTATAAACTAGAATTTCTATATTTGGAGATTATAAGTGTTCTTGACTTAAGAGAATCACCGCATGTTTCTGGCTCATCTATCTGAACTTGACAACCTGTAGAGGTTGGACTTGAAAGATGTTTTAATGCAGACAAACTCACAAACGTCTTCAGGGATATAAATATTCAAATTCAGGATGTAGGTCACAAGTCAAAACCAATTTTGGGGAAAACAACGTTGTTAAAGAAATATTGAAATAAAACTCTGAGGACATTTGGCTAAATTCCTATGTGACACACTTTGAGACACGTGTTTTATTATCACAGTTTTTTTCAACCATGAAAAACCAGTTGCTTTTCTCTTTTTACCAATAATATTACCCTGAGGGTTTTAGGGGTCCAGACAGTGACAATTAGTGTCAGGTCTCCCTTCCTGACACTGAGACTTGACTTTCATCTATGAGCCAGTGCTTACTCGGCGGAAGGTATCTGTTGATTCACTTTTTAAACAAATGGTGAGCAAAGAATGCCGCTGCACCCTTCTTCCCGCTCTTGGAAATGGAGTGGATCTTACACGCTCAAAGGAATTCCACAAAACAGAAACCACAGACGTGACAAAAGCGTGCATTTAATTCGATGCTATGCAGATACATGGCTTGTCTTTTGGGATGGTCCCAGCTGTTTATTGTTAAAGAAAAAATTAAAATGGAGCCAACAAAATGCAATTAAGGAAAAACAACAACCTTGAGACACGGGGGCCCTGCCTGCTCGGACGTCAGAAGCAGGCAGGTTACAGACATCCCAGGTTCAGCGTGGCTGGTGGACAGCGCGAAGGCACAGAGCAACGGCTCCTCTTTCAGAAACGGGCGAGCCTAACACTCTCACAAATGGCACTGGGGAAACCATCTTTATTTTTAAAGAATTTTATAGAAGGAGTTTTAGCACCATCATTAAAGGAAAAATAATAACACATTTCAGCCCTGCCTATCTCCAGTCTTGGAATAATAACAGAAGCATAGCACCTTTTAGTATCTAAACTATAAACAGGGACAGTGAGTCCATCCCAGCTTCTAGAGATGAGGTAGCTCTGCTAAGACACGCTGGTCGTGTTTCCTCGGACAGTTCGATGGCCAGATGGTCTATTCCCAATCGTCGCATCTGATTAGTAGGCTCCAGGGCTGGGTTCCTAAGGCTTTTCTTCGCTATAGGCTTCTGGACGAGATGTGGTCATCGGAAGACGCTCAGCCCTGGTCCTGGGCACGTTCGGAAGGCTGTATGTGTGAATGTTTGCGTCACCGTCTCCTTAAACAAGGAAGGGTTGTACGCAATGGCTTACTGTGTAACTCCCAGCTGTACTAATAGACTAAGTCAACAGGGGACGCTACCTTCCTATCTGAGTGAGGAGAAAGTCTACACTCACCGCCCTTTATAAAACCTAAGTTCACTTTGTCCTCGAGAAATTTCACTGAATACATATTATTTAAAAAGTCCACTTAAAACAGCAAGGAGCTCTTTTTTTCAAGATTCTTTCAAGAGTCTCTCTGATAGTTCTACAAGACCAAGACACGCATGAGGGTGTCCATCACAAGGGCAAACATTTTGATTTCACTTTTAGTTGACCATCTGGGTCTGAGAGGTCACAAAAAGGCACTATCTTCTATTTTTCAAGCTGCAGCCAGAGGCGTAAACACGCGCCGTGGCTTTACAGACCCTCCTCTCTAGGCTACCTGCCAGGACGAAGAATGTTCTCATAAATACTAAGCAACTCCATCAGGACACTGAAATGAACTGGAGAAAACAAAGACTTGTGTATTCAATCTGTTTACTTCTCTTAACAGGCGGTCATTGTCATTGGTCATCTTAAACCTCAACTTCGGTATGGAAAAATACTTTAGCTCAATGGGCACGGAGGACTGTAAGTAAAATAAATATTCTGAGGGCTAAGGAGGCCAGGCACGGAGGACCGTATGTACAACGCTGGCCGCAGCCAGCCGCTACTTCAAGAGTCTCAGGATCAGCTTCACGCAGGCCAGCTTCTCGCGACCGGGGGCCGGGCGGTGAGGGTGTTGCTCGCTGCCGACGGGCCGTGGCCGCT